ATTTTACTTATTATAAAATCCAAAACTAATTTTAAATGTTAAATATTTTAAAAAATGGATTATTTCTATTTTTGTTTTAGTTATAACTTATAAAAGAACGATAATATATGTTATTGTTGGTAAATCTAAGATATATTTACAATATATTAATATAATATTTTAAATCATTAAAAAAAAATTGTTCGTGAGCTAACTCACGGCTCGTTTGAGCTGACTCACATAACTCGTCAACTCATTTAAGTTCGATCACTTAACTCGTTTATTAAATGAGCCTAATTTCGTGTTTATTTTAATAAACCAAACCAAACTAATTCATCAATTATAATAAAGTATGCTTAAGGTTTTATCATAGATTTGAATAGATGATATGATTTCGTGTTTATTTTTTTCATTTAGAATATACAGATTTGTGGTTGCTTAACTTTTGATTTTGTGTGGATTTTAAAGTTTTTTTTGTTTGAATATGATTGGATTTGTTGGTAATGGTTGTTTAATGAATGTAAACCTCTAAATTAGACGGTTAACCCTATAAATCTATTAATGGTTTAACAACATTTGTTTGTAGGGTTTAATTGGCATTAAATTAAATGGTGGGCTATAATTTGAGTTAAATTAAAAGGTTAAGGTTTAATTTCTACATTTTGTTTGTTGGGATTTTTTGGTGAAATAAAAGATTCATTGGGTAATTTTTTGCAATTTTCTCTGCTAAAAACCCTAAAACCTCTTTCGAAAAAAACAAATCCCTAGAAAATCTCTCGACTTTAGTGGAATTCTCGTTCCTCTTATCAACAATGAAATTCTGGGGTACGTTGTTAATCGCTTGTTTAAATTTGGCCTTTCACTGTTCGAATCCTTTCTGGATCGTCGTTGTATAATTTCTGGGTTCTCGTATTTTTTTTGTGTGTTTCTCCCGTTGGTTTCTCCTGATTGATGATCGGTCAAACAATTGATACATACATGTCTTGCTTGCAATCTTTCTCAGACCCTTTTAACTACTCGTGTTCTGTTTCAATCTTTCTCACACTTGCCAATACTTGTATTCGTTTGATTCCGCTGTTTTTGGATGATTTCTCGTTTTCCTTTTGGTGTCAGAGTTGGATTTGTGTCTGGATGTGTCTCATATTTTACAAGTAGCGAATGTCTGGAGAAATTACTCATCTTGGTTTTTTCCCTCTTATTACAGAAGCTGAAGTTGCTGCAAATAAGAATGTTGACGTGATCCTTGGTGAAGACGAACTTGTCCACATTTCTCAGGTTATTTTCATATGTGATGCTTGTTTTCATATTTAGTTGAACAATACTTTTAATGTAGTTCTAAATATAGCGGTGTCTCTTGACTTTAATGGCTATCCGGATGGTGTAGTAAAACTGCATCTGAAGGTTGACGGAGAGACATATATGATTGGGTCTCTTTCACAGCAAAAAGAAGGCTACATGAGTCTTGATCTCATCATTGATGAGAATTTCACGCTCTCGCACTCCTCAAATAGAGGTAGTGTCCACTTTATCGGCTACAAGACGCCTAATTTGAAGACTCTTGTGAATGAAGGCATCGTTAGTATTAAAGTCGCTGATCCTAGACCACAACCTGCGATTCCCAATTCTTATCGGCAATTGCATGTTGTGAGTTCTTTTTATCTGGTCTTTTAAATTGTTCTCTTTTTCGTCTTCTTGTCATCTCACTGTACTTAATTTTTCTGAAGCCTCGGAGGTTAAGAGACGATTTCTTGAAGCTAGCTAAGTCAAACACAGTTGCTAATCTAGAGACTTGTGGACTGCTGGCGGGCTCTAAGGTGTGTAGACAGGTGATTAGAAACTTGCATTCCTTATATTCGTCATCTTTTTCTGTTTTGTGTAGCAAGGCAATGTTTATCAGATGACTACTCTCATAATCCCAAAGCAGAAGTCTACGTCAACTTCTGTATGTTCCTTGTTTTCCTTAGCCATGTACATCAGTGATTTATTTATTTTCTCAAGTGTGATTCCTCTCACACTTAATGCATCTTCATTTGTTAATGTTCAGTACGAAATGCTAAACGAAGAAGAAGTACTTAAAGTACAAGAGGACCTCTCTTTAATTTCCTTGGGTTGGATCCATGTAAGTTCTCTCAACCGAATAGACTTTTCCTTCTATCTCTATCTTTTCCTTCACGTTTACTGTATTTTTATAGATTCGAACAAAGATCTTCCACTTCTAGTTCTTTTTGTTCACTTGCCAAAAAGCTACTGGCTAATTTACATTTTGGTTTCAGACACACCCTAAACATAATTGCTCCATGTCTTCAGTTGATCTTCACACAATGCACTCCTATCAGTTTTGTACAAACTTCGCATTTCAATATCTATTATGCTAATCACTTATTTTCCGATAATCTATATCTATTTTACCATGTGGTCCATATCTGTCTCGACAGATGCTGTTACCGGAGGCAGTGGCAATCGTAGTGGCTCCAACAGACAAATCAATACCTTATGGAATATTCCATCTTTCTGATCCATCTGGTTTATCCATGATCCGTAACTGTGACCAGCAATCGTAGTGGCTCGTTTATGGTCATCTCTTGACGAAAAGGGGACCGACACCATAGTGCCTTTCTGAGAGTCTCTAGTGTGGAGGTATTGCTCAAACCTTCCACTTTGGATAGTATCAATGTAAACTTCCCATGAAAGTTTGTAGGCTCTCGTGTTCTTCTTATCGTATAGTCCATAGGACATAATCAAAGATTTTTTGCTCCATT